ATCCATTGGTTCACTCCCCAAATAATGCCCACAATTGTCAGACAAGTCTGGGCCAGGTCAAAGCCAGCTTCTCCACGGCTTAGAGGAGGAGGAGGAGGCAGCATTCCGAGGTCATCACCACTCTGATGCTTCTGCTGGTATTGGAGCTCAGAGGGAATGCGGCCCTAGATGGGGGAGTCTGGGTTCTCCTGCACTCTGATAGGATGTGGATGCCGCAGGGGATGGGAGAGTCTAGCCCCTGGCTGTCTCTCTCAAATCTGCCCACTGCTTCCCACTCCCGGGCTTCTGTTCTGCGGCTGTCACGCTGGAGCTGATCAGAGCTCTGACCTTGGCTCTTCTCTTTCTGACGCTCTGTACTCTCAGAGGGTTTTAAACACCACTTTCACACAACACTCTCCCCTAATTTATATCCCACATCAGCCATTCCCTCTGACCTGGGTGCTCACACTCACACACTCACACCTGGATAGACACACACACATAGTGTCCTACTCTCACACCTGCACAGACACACTCACACCCTCCACCTGCACACTTACACCCACACAATCACACCTGCACAGTAACACACTCACCCCTGCACACCCACACCCAGACTCACACTCCCCCCTGCAAGCCCACACACATCCAGGTAGGACCCCAACCAGGAGTTGCCCCCATCATCCTCCCTGGCCTCCTTGTCTCCCCCACATCCCCCCACCCTCTGTCCTGACACCTGAGCACACCTGAGTAGGGCAGGCCCCTCCTCTGCCCACAACCCTCCATGGCTCCCACCTTCCTCCCACTCAAAGCCAGGGTCTTCCTGACTGCCTGTGCTGCCTGCCCTGTCCCCTCCCCGCCTCACCTCCTCCCTCTGCTTCTTTGTCTTCCTCTCTGCCCCTCCTTGCTGAGGCTGTTCCAGGCGTGTTCCAGTCACAGGGCCTTTGCACAGGCTGTTGGCTGTACCTGAACTCCTCTGCCCTCACACAACCTCTGCACTGATTTCCTCACTTCCCTCAAGTGTGTGAATCCAGGGTCTTTGCCCAGCCGGCTGCTGCCCAGTCCTGGGGGTGACACCTGGCAGTGGGTAAGGGGCAGAGCATGAATCACCGCTCCCCCAAGTTCAACTCTGCTGTTCCTTTTCTAACTCACAGCCTAGCTAGGCTGGTTATATCATTCAGTGACTATGCTAATTACATAGGAGTGATTTTAGTACACTCGGCATTCAAAGTGGTGCCTTTTTGTTTTTGGTTTTTAGATTTATTTATTTATTTGAATGTCAGAATCAGAGAGAGAGAGAGAGAGAGAGAGAGAGAGAGAGAGAGAGAATCTTCCATCTGCTGGTTCACTCCTCAAATGGCTAAATGGCCAGGCCAAAGCCAGGAGCCAGGAGCTTATTCCAGGTCTCCTATGTGGGTGCAGGGGCCCTAGCACTTGGTCCATCTTCCACCGCTTTGCAGGCCATAGCAGAGAGCTGGATTGGAAGTGGAGCAGCTGGGACTGGAACCAGTGCCCATATGGGATGCTGGCACTGCAGGTGGCAGCTTTGTCTGCTAAGCACATTGCTGGCCCCACCTCTGAGACTATCACTATGTTGAATGCTCCTTTAGCTTTACTTGTGCTGAATCAGGGGTTGGCAAGCTCCATTTGGCCCCTGGCTTGTTTTGCCAATAAAGTTTTATTGAAACCGAGCTGTGCACACTCATTTTCATAATGTCTATGGCTGTTTGCACACCAGCACTGAGCAGTTGTGACTGAGCTGACACAGCCCATAGATACTAAAATATTCCCCCTTTACGAAAAAATATGCACCCAGCGCGAGATCCTCATGGCTGTCTGCTTCCTGCTTCCTGGTTTTCCTCCATTCATGAGCAATGGGTATCCCTCCCTCACAGCCCTTTTGTTCCCATTAAGTTCTTTCATGGTCCCGAGATGTGATCAGAATAACTGGGGACTCCATCAGGCTCACTGTTATGTTGTCTTCCCCTTTTTTAAATATATCTTTGGAACCAGATTTTAAAATGCAGATTTCCAAAACAAAACCAGCCATTTCCCAGACATTGAAGCCATCATTTCCACTCCTGTTATCAGGCGGCTGGGGATGAGCTTGGGCAGGTGCAGGGCCATTGCATTTTTTCCCTCTCTTAGAGTACAGCAAATGGCCACCAGGTGGTGCAAAAAGCAGCCCTCTCCACCCTGTCCTTCCTCTTAAAACTCATAGCTGCATATCGGCGCTGTGGCACAGCGGGTTAAAATCCCAGCCTGCAGTGCCGGCATCCCATTTGGGCACCAGATAGAGTCCTGTCCGCTCCACTTCTGATCCAGCTCTCTGCTATGGCCTGGGAAAGCAGCAGAGAATGGGCCGAAGGCTTGGGCCCCTGCACCCGCGTGGGAGAGGAGTCCTGGAAGAAGCTCCTGGCTCCTGGTTTCGGATCAGCTCAGCTGTTATACCCTAGTCTACATGGGGGGAGGGGGAGTCATGCAATATTTGTCTTGCTGGGCTTGGATTATTCAATTAACTATGTCCTCCAGATTCATCCATATTCTCCCACTGAATGATTAAATAATGGGATTTCTTTTTTTTTTAAAGATTTATTTATTTATTTGAAACAGTTACACAGAGAGAGAAGGAGAGGAAGAGAGAGAGAGAGAGAGAGAGAGAGAGAGAGAGAGAGAGGTCTTCCATCCACTGGTTCACTCCCCAGCTGGCCGCAATGGCTGGAGCTGTGCTGATCCAAAGCCAGGAGCTTGGAGATTCTTCTGGGTCTCCCATATGGGTGCAGGGGCCCAAGCACTTGAACCGTTTTTCACTGCCTTCCCAGGCACATTAGCAGGAAGCTGGTTTGGAACTGGAACAGCCGGGACTCGAACCTGTATCCATATGCGATACAGATGCTGTAGAAAGTGGCTTAACCCACTAAACCACAACACTGGCACCATCACATCATCTTTTTTTACAGAAGAAATTTGCTTTTTTGAGAAAAACATTTATTACCTTGAAAAGCAGAGGAGAGAGAGAGGTAGAGAGCGAGAGAGATAGAGATATAGATAGATAGAGAGATAGATAGAGAGAGAGATGTTCCATATGGTGGTTCCCTAAATGTTCCAATTGCAGGTTCCCTAAATGCCTCCAACAGCCAAGGCTGGACCAGGAGCCAGGAGCTGGGAACTCCATCTGGGTCTCCCACATGGGTGTCAGGGGCCCAAGCACTTGAGCCGTCATCTGCTGCTCTCCCAGCTGCGCTAGCAGGGAGCTGGATCAGAGGGGAGCAGTTAGGACTCCCGGTATGGAATGCAGACAAAGCAACCAGCAGCTTACCCCACTGTGCCACACAATGCCAGTCCAGAAGTTCTCATTCTAAAATCTGCACGTATTTATTTATTCGAAAGGTGGAGAGAGAACGGGAGAAAGCTCCCACTTGCTAGTTCATTCCAACAAGCGTGGCTGCACCAGGTGGGAGCCGGGAGCTGGGACCTCCTCCCGGCCTCCCTCCCTCCCACGTGGGTGCAGGGACCCAGCCCCTTGCGCCGGCCCTGCTGCCCCCCGGGTGCGCTCCAGCAGGAAGGAGATTCCCTTAGGCGCTCAAGAGCCTCAGGCTTGCCCGGAGACGTCTGGAAGCGGGCCACGCCCCTCCGGGGGTCTCTCTCCGTGTCTGATGGCGAAGGCGGAGGCGACCCCAGCAGACCCCCGTCTCTCTCCGCAGGCTCCTGAGCAGCAGGCGGGAAACGGCACGGAGCTGGTGAGCGAGTTCGTGCTGGTGGGATTCTCCAGCGTCCCGCACCTGAGGCCCACGCTCTTCGCACTCTTCCTGCTCACCTACCTGGTCACCCTGGGCGGCAACGCCACCATCATCGCCCTCATCCACGCCGACCGCAGCCTGCACACGCCCATGTACCGCTTCCTGGCCGTGCTGTCCCTCTCCGAGACCTGCTACACGCTGGTCACCATCCCCAACATGCTGGCGCACCTGCTGCTGCGCAGCCAGGCCATCTCCATCGCGGGCTGTCGCGCGCAGATGTTCTTCTTCCTGGGCCTGGGCTGCAGCCACTGCTTCCTGCTGACCCTGATGGGCTACGACCGCTCGGTCGCCATCTGCCGGCCGCTGCGCTACCCGCTCCTCATGAGGCCGTCGGTCTGCGTCGGCCTGGGAGCCCTGGTGTTCGGCGCCGGCTTCTCCGTGGCCTTGACCGAGACCTGCCTGGTCTTCTCGGCGCCCTTCTGCGGCGGGCCGCGCGTGGAGCACTTCTTCTGCGACATCGGCCCGGTGCTGCGGCTCAGCTGCGCCCAGAGCGCGCGCCGGGCCCTGGCCATCTTCTTCCTGAGCGTCCTGGTGGTCCTGGTCTCCTTCCTCCTCATCCTCCTGTCCTACGCCTTCATCGTGGCCGCCGTCGTGCGCATGCCCTCGGCAGCCAGCCGGCGCAAGGCCTTCTCCACCTGTGCGGCCCACCTCACCGTGGTGGTGGTGCATTTCGGCTGCGCCTCCATCATCTACCTGCGCCCGGACTCGGGCGGCCACCCGGCCCGGGACCGCCTGGTGGCTGTGTTCTACACGGTGGTGACGCCGCTGCTGAACCCTGTGCCATGCACACTATGCAGGACCCTGGCACGCACCTGCTGGCCACCCCTGTAAGCACCTGCTCTACATTCCATGAAGCTCCAGGCGTTCGTTACCCCGTGACTCGCGCAGGACTCAGTCTTATTCATAAAGCAGAACCACTCTTTCGGGCCAGTGCTGCGGCATAGGAGGTTAAGCCTCCTCCTGTGGCGTTAGCATTCCATAGGGCGCTGCTGGTTGGAATCCCAGCTGTTCCACTTCAGATCCAGCTTGCTGCTGTGGCCTGGGAAAGCAGTAGAAGATGGTCCAAGTGCTTCGTCCCCTGCACCTGCACGGGAGACCTGGAAGAAGCTCCTGGCTCCTGGCTTCGGAACAGCGAAGTTCTGGCCATTGCTTAGGGACTACATTCGATATCAGTTTTGTTTTTTTTTTTTTAATTCACAGACATGTGCAAAAACTCACTGTTCTTGATAAATGCAGCTTTGCTTGTCACCAATCCAAAGTTTTTTTTTTTTTTTTAATAAAGATTCATTTATTTACTTGAAAGGCAGAGCTACAGACAGAGAGAGAATGAAAGACAGATAGAGAGGTCTTCCTTCCACTGATTCATTTTCCAAATGGCTGCAACAGCTGAAGCTGGGCTGATCCGAAGCCTGGAGCCAGGAGCTTCTTTCAGGTCTCCCACGTGGTTGCAGGGGCCCAAGCACTTGGGCTTTCTTCTTCTGCTTTCCCAGTGCATTAGCAGGGAGCTGGATTAGAATTGGAGCAGCTGGGATTCAAACTGGTGCCCTTATGGGATGCCAGTACTGTGGAGGCTTAACTTTCTATGCCACAGTGCTGCCCCCCTTTATAAAATATTTATTTATTTACTTATTTGAAAGTCAGAATTATACCCACACATACATACACACACACACACACACACACACACACACGAGGGACAGAGAGATCTTCCACCTGCTGGTTCACTCCCCAATTGTCTACAACGGCCAGGGCAAGGGCTGACAGAAGCCAGGAGCCAGGAGCTCCATCCTCATCTCCCACATCGGTGCAGGGGCCCAAGCTCTTAGGCCATCTTCTGCTGCTTTCCAAGATGCCTTTATTAGCAGAGAGATGGATTGGAAGTGGAGCAGCTTGGACTTGAACCCTCGCTCATATGAGATGCCAGTGTCTCAGCTGGTGGCTTAACCCAGTACACCACAACGCTGGCCCCTGGGTCTACTTCTGATTCCAGTTTCCTATTAACGTGCACCCTGGGAGGCTGCAGATGGTTCAAAGTTGCTTGGGTCCCTGGCACCCATGTGGGAGACCCAGATGGAGTTCCTGGCTCCTGGCTTCAGCCTGGTCCTAGCCCTGGCTGTCGCGGGCACTGAGGAGTGAACTAGCCCGATGGAAGATGTGGTGTGAAGCTATTTATTGCCACTGAGTTACTTGTTTTTTTTTTTTTTTTAAAAACATGGTTAAAACGGTAGATTTTTATGTGACATGTCTTTTTTTTTTTTTTTTTTGCCACAGTTCGAAAATTTCAGAAAGAAACTAGAAAGTGCTTTGCTATGACAGGCAGTCTTCATGGGTGTGCTGGTGCTGCGAGGTCTATGGGCGCCTCCCTGAACAGGTAGAGCTGGACAGACAGGCGCCTGCTCCATCTCACACCCAGAGCACTGCTCTCCTACAGACATCCGGATGAGTCATTCACTCACTCACGGAGGTAGCGTGAAATATGAGATCTGTCCGTCAAACCCTGGCATCGCTTCTCATGCTCTAGTGACCTACAAACATCAAAACCCTGCAGTCTGCCTGCCGAATAGAACCATAGTTCAACAAAAAGAAAAAAAAAAAAACCCCAAGCGACATGAAGACCCAACTCTCAGCAGAAGTGTGCAAACACACATGTTGCAGCACCTTAGCAACTTCCTAAGAAAAAAGATTTATTTGGGGGCCAGTGCTGTGGTGTAGCGGGTAAAGCCACCTCCTGCAGTGCCAGCATCCCATATGGGTGCTGGTTCAAGTCCCGGCTGCTCCACTTCTGGTCCAGCTCTCAGCTATGGCCTGGGAAAGCAGTAGAGGATGGCCCAAGTCCTTGGGCCCCTGCACCCACATGGGAGACCCAGAAGAAGCTCCTGGCTCCTGGCTTCAGGTCAGCTCAGCTCTGGCCACTGCGGCCAGCTGGGGAGTGAACCAGTGGATGGAAGACCTCTCTCTCTCTCTCTTTCTCTCTCTCTCTTTGCCTCTCCTTCTTTCTCTGTGTAACTTCGACTTTCAAATAAATAAATCTTTTTAAAAAAGAAAAAAATGTATTCTAAAGGCAGAGAGACAGAGCAAGAGGGAGAGTCAGAGAGAGAGAGAGAGAGAGAGAGAGATCGTTCGTCTGCTGGTTCATTTCCCCAAATGGCTGCAACAGCCTGGACCAGGTCAGGCTGAGGCCAGGAGCCTGGAACTCCATCCAAGTCTCCCATGTGGTTGGTAAGGACCCAAGCACTTTGGGCCATCACCTGCTGCCTTCCTAGTTCTATTAGCAGGGAGCTGGATCTGAAGTGGAGCGGTCGGGACTTGAACCTGTGCTCCCATAGGGGATGCTGGGATCCCAAGGTAGCAGCTTAACCTGCTGCACCACAATGCCAGCCCCTGAGCCCTTAGCAACTTGAGAATCTCATTAGGCAGCCGTTGTGAGGATTTTTGCCTCGTGGGAGAGTAGGTTCCTTGTCTTTTGCTGGGAGAGGGGACAGTGGCGCTGTTCACTGCCTTCTGTGCTCCAAAGCACTTGTGAGACCTCCTCAATCTCATTTCCTCCTTGGTGTAATTTTTGGGGACTCATGGTACAAACTTGGGGGAGTGTTTTTTTAAAGTATTTATTTATAGTTATTTGAAAGGCAGAGAAGCAGACAGAGGCAGACGGACAGACAGACTGAATTTCTATCCTCTGGTTCACTCCCCCAAATGCTTCCAACAGCCAGGGCTTGGGCCAGGCTAAGGTCAGGAGCCAGGAGCTCCAGCCAGGTCTCCCACGTGGGTGGCAAGGACCCAAGCACTTGAGTCATCACCCGCTTCCTTTCCAAGGTGTGCAGTGCAGGAAGCTGGAATCAGAAGTGGAGCAGCTGGAACTGAAACCTGGGTGCTCTGATATGGGTTGGGGGATGTCCCGACAGGCAATTTAGCCACAACACCCAACACCCAATGCTGCAAGAGTTGCATTTGGAAGTCCTGTGAACTGGAGAGTGGTGAGTGAAATGAGCCAGACCCAGGAAGACAAATCTGAGGTTTTTCTCTTATTCGTGGAGGTTAATGCACAGAGTATAGAAATTGTGTGGATGTCATATCATTGGGTATTTAGTTATAAATACTGCCTCGCTGAAGTATACCATGTAGATGACAATGTACTCTTCTCTCCCCCCGTCATGGTCATGGTCATGAACCCTTCACTCTGTGATATTCATATCTCTGTTTTCAAAAGAAAACAGGGGCTGGTGTTATGGCATAGTGGACAAAGCCACCACCTGTGATGGTGGCATCCCCAAATGGTTGCTGGTTTGTGTCCCGTCTGCTCCACTTCCAGTCCAGCTCTCTGCTGTGGCCTGGGAAAGCAGCAGAAGATGGCCAAAGTGCTTGGGCCCCTGCACCCATGTGGGAGACCTGGAAGAAGCTCCCGGCTTTGGCCTGGCCCTCACGGCCAGCTGGGGAGTGAACCAGCTGATGGAAGATTTTTCTCTCTTTGTCTCTCTCTCTGTAACTCCTTCAAATAAATAAATAATGCTTAAAATTGCATATATGTGTATGATGTCTACATGTGAAGTGAATATGACAAAATGTTTAAAAATTATAATAATTTAAGAAGTAAAAATTAATTAAAAAATAAAATACAACCAAATAACTCTACAAGAATTTCAAATATTTTTGCAACAAAGTAGACTTGCCTTTAATCCATTTTTCATGAAGTTTTTGAAGTACCTTTATGTTATTAAAAATATAAAGTCTTGAGGCCGGCGCTGTGGCGTAACGGGTAAAGCCAGTGCTGGCATCCCATATGGGTGCCGGTTTGAGTGCTGGCTGCTCCACTTCCAATCCAGCTCTCTGCTGTGACCCGGGAAAACAGTGGAAGATGGCCCACGTCCTTGAGCCCCTGTACCCACTTGGGAGACCGGGAAGAAGCTCCTGGCTCCTGGCTTCAGATCGGCACATCTCTGGCCATTGCAGCCAATTGGGGAGTGAAACAGCAGATGGAAGACCTCTCTCCCTGTCTCTACTTATCTCTCTCTCTCTACCTCTCTCTCTCTCTCTGTCTCTCCTTCTCTCTGTGTGTAACTCCGACTTTCAAATAAATAAATAAATCTTTAAAAAATGTGTCAGAAGAAAAACATGTCTATTATTTAAAAAAAAAAAAAGTCTCGTGAGACCCTGAATTACAGACCTCAACCACTTACTGGCAGCCCGTGTGGAAAGACAGCGCCCCGTGGGACAAGCAGGTTCCCTTCCATCTCCATTTCTCTCACTCTCTTATCAACAGTGGTGAGATTAGGTGACATCCATGAGGAATCTGGCTTCTACCCATGCCTGCAAAGGCTACAGAGTCACTAGGCACCTGCTGTGTCACTCACGACAGCACAGGGCTACCTGAGGCTCTGTCCTCACATACATGAGCTCCTTGCTTTCTGTCTCTCTCCAGGTCTCTCTGGCCAGCTCCCTGACTGTCAGTTTATTGCCTTGTGGTCTGGGTTTCTAATCGCTGCCGAACCCCACTCCTGGTACTAACTTTCATATCAGGTACTTGCACAGCGTGAGCTGTTACGACAAAGAAACCCAAGATCCAGATGTTTCACCTGCATAGAAATAAATGTCTTGCTCATGCTGGGGGTTCAGGGGTGTTGAATCACAGCTTCCTTCCAAAGTTACTTATGCGGCTGCACCCATCAAGTCTTCGTTCAGCTCAGGCCGCAGCAAAGTGTAGAAGCCTTAAAGAAACACATTCTCCAGGTTTCTGAGGGCTGGGTGTGGGTGTGCTGCCCATTGCACATTCACATCCGATTGGCCTGGACCACAACTCTCACCAGGGCATCTGGACCCATGGTTGATGCCCCTGGTTACATCTCAGACATTGTTTTACAAGGAAGACCAGGAGAATGACTTCTGGTCAGCATCTAACAATGTGTTACTTGTTTCACTCTCTGAAGAGAGGTTGTCATCCATTTCATTGAACATACTGAGGCTCAGAGAGTTTAACGAACCTGCCCAGGAATGCGCATTTGGTGCAGCATTCAAGGCATTGCTTGGGGGAGGGGGCAGTGTTGTGGCATGGTGGGTTAAGCTGCTGCCTGCAATGTTAGCATTCTATACAAGCACAGGTTCAAGTCCCAGCTGCTCCACTTCTGATCCATCTGCCCATTAATATACCTGAGCAGAGGATGGCTCAAGTACTCCACATGGGAGACCTGGA